TATTGTCAGGAAGCAGGTTATTTATTGCTTTATATATAATTTGTGCAGTGAGAAAATGAACCAGATCTGTGAATTTTAGAATTTTTGATTTTAAGAATAGTGGATTTGTATGATCTCCCTATTAACTACTCAACTTAATTATCCTGTCAGTTCCTATATTAAAAGAAAGCATGTAATGGTGCATGCAGTGAGTGTGTGTGTGAGAGACACGTGCATGCTGACCTGCAGCAGGTAGCGCCTCTTGTGAACCTCCTTAATGTCTTCGTAGGCAAAGATGCTGCAGGTTCTCTTTAACTGGCTCTGTCCTTGTCTCGCTCCTCTGGGGATGATGGCCTCGTGCATACTGGAGAAAAAACACACAACAACCCACTCAAGAGAAGATCCACTCAAAATTTTAATCCCCTGTTTGCGGTGGGTACGTTCCCGTGACATGGCTGAGAATGAATAAACACATACTGTTTAATGATGGATCAAATAATGGATCAAATTAGCTGGTAGTGAATCTTTAAATCACTCCAAAAACTTCAAAGTTGAGTAGAAAACAAAAAAAGCGTTCAGCTAACAAAAGAGTTTGTCTTGAATAAATTATCAGCTAATTGGCGTATGATTTAAGCTCTGTGCTGGTACGGGACAGTGGGGAAGCTTAGGAGGGGGTAAAAACACCAAAACAACCCGAGGGACACACCACAAAGTCTGGGAGACATCTGCTCCTTTTTCCCTTCTTTGGTTATTTTCCAGCAGCATCTCAAAGGAACGGGCTGAGCAAGTTCCACAAAACAATAAATATGAGAAAAGCTTTGCGGACTTTCACAGCGCATGCTCCATCGGCAGCATTACATCATCCCAGCAGCAGAAATTTCCACTGCAGCGTACACGGGAATGATGTCATCCTTTATTCAGAGAAAGAAAGTGCCGATGCCGCGTCCGCTGTCAGGTGAGGGACGGATACAGAGGCGTGAACCTACTTGGGTGGCAGCGTGTCGATGTCCCTGATCTCCCTGGACACGGTCATGGTGTAGCCGTCGATGACGTAGAAGTGCTCCTTCCCAAACAGCAGCAGACCCTCGCTGGTGTCGAGACCCTGCACTCTGGCACAGCGGTACATGTGCTGAATCTGGAACGCACAACAGCTAATTAGCTAAAGTTTAGAGAGGTCGATTACACAAAGGAAAGCCCCCCAGCTGAATTTCCTCTGAACATGGAACAATTAATGAGTGAACTTTCTCCACTGGAGAAGCAGCTTTGTGTAAAACCTCTGATCCTCAAATGCTCCACCTGAGCAGAAACACTACAGTTAAAGGCACGTGAGCCCAGAAAGCTAATAATTCATCTTTCTTGTAAAAACTGACAAAATACCTCGAAAGCGAGACTCAGGGACGTGTAAAGGTGATACAGGTACTTCATGATCAGACCAACCTCTTCTTAAAAAGCTTTGATTCACTAATTTTTCCTTTTGAAATGTCACAAAT